TAATGGGCCTCTCAGGAGGTCCTGTTTTGCTGTAACTTGCAGAGAAGACCCAAGGTCATACCCAAGCTGCAGTCTAGGAACAAACAAGAGCAGTCTGGGTGATGAAAACCTGGAAGGTGGAAGCAGTGGCTGGGCAGAGGTCCAGTGCTTTCGCAAACAGCTTACGTTCAGGAGCCACAGGACATCCAGAGGCCCCCGATAGAGCAAACTGGGGCAGGAGGCCATGGAGCTTCCTGAACTACTCAAGAGGGGTCAGAATATAAAAATGTGTTAGCACAGTAACTACAACACTCAAGCCCAGGAGAAGGCTGATGGAAGATGCTATTATCTTTAGGCCTCCCCTGCATCACTTGGAGGGGTTAAGACGGCTGTCATTCTCTTTGTTTTGGTGGTTGTATTTTTTTTTTTTTTTTTTTGTCAACTAGACACAAATTAGGGTTATCTGCCTACAGGAGATCTCCAATGAGAAAATGCTCCCATCAGATTGTCCTGTGGGAACGTTGGCGGAGACATTTTTTTTCTTGATTGATGATTGGTATGGGAAGACCCCGCCCACTGTCGGTGGTGCCACCTAGGGCAGGTTCTGAGCTGTATAGCAAACAGTCTAAGCAGCACAGGTGGAGTGAGCCTTGAGCAGCATCGCTCCATTGTGTCTGCTTCAGCTCCCTGTTTTCCCTCGGCAATGCAGCGTGACCCGGGAGTTGTAAGATGAAATAACTTCCTGGTGATGGTTTCAGTCAGCGCTTTATCACAGTGGCAGAGAGCAAACTACGGTCAAAGTACCGATGACTGAGTCTAGGGATTTCTCACATGCTAGGTAAGGGCTTCACCACAGATCCACATCCCTGGTCACAGGCTGTGATCTTTAATAATGCCAAAGGTCATTTCCACATGGAAACTTCTGTGTCACAAGGAAGTGGCACACTGGGATGACTGTGACCTGCTGTCCTGGCTCTGCCTGAAAGTCAAAGTCAGCAGCAGGGAGAGGCAGTGTGCTCAGCATTCAGCACTTCTCATCACCACGCCAAGACCTAGCTGAGGTTCGTTTTTAGCCACGGCTAGAATTTTAACATCAGCTGTCCATGGTGGTTTTTTGGGTCATATTTTTTTTTTTGGTCTGGTATGTCTTTATGGTCATCTATTTTTTTTCACTTAGAGATAATTCAGATTCTGTGGGACAAAAGGAAAATACAAACCTTTAACCTCAACACACCTATGCCCGGACATGTGAAGTTCAGAAAGTGATAACAAGGAGAGAAGAAAGGAATAGCTTCTATTGCTACAGCTGCATCCTGTGTCCAGCCCCATCAAGGAGGCCACTGTGGATGGCTCCATTCCCTTCTCTGCTGCTCAGTGACTCAATGAGTACTCTTATGTAGAATAGGGCATTCCGAGCATGCTATCTGTTAGCGGTGTGCTCATAGCACAAACACCAAAATGGTCAGCACTGTTGGGATCTGCCTAGTAGTAAAAAGCAGTTGGTGATGAAGTCTTGGTACCCTGAGTGTTAAATATGACAGAGGGAAAAGGCCTTAAGTGTAAACAGTGGGTGCTCAGTGAAGCCAGTGAAGAACATCTGTCTAGAGTAGATTATGCCTTATCACTGTAGTCCTGTGCTCAAGGCAAAGGATGGGCCCAGGAAGTGGCTCCAGGCAGTATGACACCCAGGGGTGTGCAAAGAAGAGTCCAAAAATATACTTAAATGTACCCTAATGGGGGAACTTGACCTCTGACAAGTCAGTCTTAGGAGCTCCAAACGCCAAGCCAAATGCCAGGCACAGGGTAGCAAGAGTGGGGGCTGGGACAGAGCAAGGTGGACCTTGGAGGGGAGTTGAGCAGAAGTAGAGTGAGCTGGACCAGGAGCAGGTGGAGAAGCTGAGAGGTGGAGTTAACTAGAGATGGAGCAGGTGGAGAGGAGCTGAGAAGTGGAGTGAGCTGGACCAGGAGCAGGTGGAGAAGCTGAGAGGTGGAGTGAGCTGGTGTAGGTGGAGAGGAGCTGAGAAGTGGAGTGAGCTGGTGTAGGTGGAGAGGAGCTGAGAGGTGGAGTGAGCTGGTGTAGGTGGAGAGGAGCTGAGAAGTGGAGTGAGCTGGTGTAGGTGGAGAGGAGCTGAGAAGTGGAGTGAGCTGGCGCAGGTGGAGAGAAGCTGGGCAGACGTGCTGCAAGGCTGGAGCAGGTGGATCTCGAAGAGAATGAACAGACGTGGAAGAAGAATGTGAAGGGGCCCTGAAGGGGGGCAGGGAAAGGAGAAGGTGTCTTAGTTAGGTTTCTGTCGCTATATAAACAACCATGACCAAAAGCACCTCAGGGAGGAAAAGGATTATTTCATCTGACAGCTTGCAGCCCATCATGAAGCAAAGTCAGGGTAGGAACTCAAGTAGGAACCTGGAGGCAGGAGTTGAACCAGCGGCTGCTGGAGGGATGCTGCTTGCTGGCTTTCTCCTCGGGGTTTTGTTCAGCCAGCTTTCTCATAGAACCCGGGTGTTATTTAATCACTTCCATCGAATTACAGATTTTGACATTTACTCTTCCTTGGCTAATAGGTTAGTGTTAACCTTTGGGAGGACTGTGGCAGCTTCAGCTAAGAAGTGGTCTGTTTTGTTTATGTCCTGCAGGTAAAAGCACCTTGACCCAGTCGGTGTCAGAGTCTCTCAAGGCTGTCCTCTTGCAATCACCACCCCCCTGCATCAGCCAGTGGAGGAAAGTCTTTGACAATGAGCCTACTATCATTAGAAGAGCATTTTACTCTTTGGGCAATTATCTTGTGGCTTCTGAAATAGCTAAAGAATCAGCCAAGTTCCCTGTTATTGTAGACAGGTGAGTAGCAAGATGCCTTCTCTGTGACACATCATTCTCTCTGTCTCTGTTTCTGTCTCTGTCTCTCTCTCTCCTTTCTTCTCTCTACATGTATACTTAGGTACTCAGTTGTGAACATGCATTATGATTACAAGAGGAATATTAAATTATGAACTACATACATCACACCCTGACATTTTATACTAATATCTGAATAGTGCCTTGGGTAGGTTGGAATCAGACAGTCTCTACAATTAACGAATAAGGAATGTGGGTCTGAAAAGATTGTGTCATAACCACCAGGCATCATTCTTCTTAATATCATAACCAATGGCAATCCCCAGGCTAATGCAGTGGACCTATCATGTGGTCCCCACTGCGCTAGCCCTCTGACAAAAAGTTCCAGAACTATTGAAAATTAAAGGACTGAGGAGTAGCTATGGTCACACAGGTTAAGCTGTCAGCCTTGGAGAATCTTCAGACCTAGAAAGGGTTTTCTTTTTCCTGGGAACTTCAGTTTATATGATAAGTACTTGCTATAGGTGATTCTCCTTTGATGTTGGATATGAAGTTTCATATTTATTCACTTTACATTAGAATGTTGCCTGAACAGGGCAAGAATCTGATTGTAACAAAGGCTTGGAGGGTACCTTCACTAACAACATTTTGCATTAGGACCAGTAGAGGCCCCCCCAATGCTCATTAATGCCTGATGGGTTACTTAAAAAAGAAAGAGAGAGAGAAATAAAGGAAGAAAGGGAGGAAGGAAGAAAGGAAGAAAGAAAGGGAGGAAGGAAGGAAGGATGGAAGGAGAAAGGGAAGGAAGGAAGGAAGGAAGGAAGGAAGGAAGGAAGGAAGGAAGGAAGGAAGGAAGGAAGGAAGAAAACAATAGAAAAGACAATGCTTGGCATCTTGGTCTCCTTTGCTCTGAGTCATTCTGTCTTGTGGCCACCTTTGATTCCAGGACATTGTCTGTATCATGGGTGAACATCTTCCAACAAGGGTTGAGTCTACCCACTCAGCAACAGCAACTCTTTCATGGGGACCACATCTCTCCTGACTGGTCCTGAGTTTGTGATCAGCCAGGTCACATCCAGACCAAGACTGACTAGCTATGTGTGTATCTTCTATCCCAACATTTTTACCCTTTCCCTACTTAATATTGGTGCTCATATCAGTGCCCCCAAGGACAAAACTAGGAATACAGGTAACTTCTGTCTTCCTGGTGTGACTGCAGTGACGGGAACCCCTTTCCTGCTGGTCACCATTGGTTTCGGTGACAGTGGTTGGACTTGGATTTTCTGGGACACACATAGTTAAGTTCCTGTTCTAGTAATATCACACACTTACATTAGAAAATATTATCTATTGACTTTTGCATGCACATGTGCATCAATAGCTGTAAGGATCATTATTTATTACATGCTAATAAATTTCATTCATTAATAGACATAAGAGGCATTCGCCCATTGTATAACTACCATGTGCTGGTTTTGTAGTTTTTATGTATGAGAATACGGAAGTGACTAAGAAGCATTTCCCATGGTTTTGTAGTTTTTATGTATGAGAATACGGAAGTGACTAAGAAGCATTTCCCGCTCCGTGGAGGAGACAGGATCTCCCTCCTGAGACAATAGCTGTGGTCCCCAGTGAGAAGCTCCTCAGTAGAGTCTCCTCTAGGGTATGAGGAGCCAGAGGAGGAGCTTGGATCCTGTATGGGGCCTTCATGGGAGCAGGACTGTGAAGGCAGAGGTGGGACTTCCCTAGTTGAGGGTATCACCCTTGCTAAGAGACAAGGAGTAAAGATGGTGTGTGGTCCAAGCTGGGGGGAAGTTCTATGCCTCACGGGGAGACAGACTCCTTTCCTGTGGGTGGTAGACAGCTGTTGGGCTTCCAGAAACAGTGTGCTGGGTTCTTTTCCATTTATGGCCATGGCTGACCTTTCTACAGCTGCCCAGTCTGGTCTCCTCATTGTCTAATCACCGCTGCACAGTTAGACAACTGGGTTTCGTTTTGTTTTTTTGTGAAGGGAGGGAGGGTGGCATTCTAGCCTCTGCTCCATGAACATGGATTTCATGGGCAGTTTGAGTTTGGCACTGTGAGAAATGGCTCAGGCCTGCCTGATTTCACTAGCTCAGGACATAGTGTTAACTAGAAAGGCACTGCTGAGCAAACCAGTCATCCTTACCCTCATGGCCGCATAGAAGAAGTTAGTGTACGTGAAGAAGGGCCAGAACGGTTTGATGCCTGTCCTTACGGTATAGGATAGTTTCAGTTAGATATATGATTTCATGACTAGCCTACTTGTTACTACTGTTGTTGACTCTGTTTTTTTTTTATGTGTGTGTGTTTTACACATTAATAATAAATCCAAATGTAGTTCTTTTGTGTGGTGCTGGGAAGACTTTAGCAGAGCCAGCCTGGTTTGATGGTTCTCCAATGGTACCCTGACTCCTTCCATAGATGAGAGCTCACGGCTGCCTCGTTTCCCAGGTACTGGCACAGCACAGCCACCTATGCCATAGCCACAGAGGTGAGTGGAGGCCTGCAGTACCTCCCTCCTGCCCACCACCCCATCTACCAGTGGCCAGGAGACCTGCTGAAGCCTGACCTGGTCCTGCTGCTCACGGTGAATCCTGAGGAGAGAGTGAGGAGACTGCAGGGCCGGGGTGTGGAGAAAACGAAAGAAGAGGCCGAACTTGAGGCCAATAACGTGTTTCGTCAGAAGTAAGTGTCCCCAGGGTGATGTGAATGGTGGGGAGTCCCTCTCGTCCCCGAGCCAGGATCAGAACTGCTTTAGGACACAGTTCCTGTGCTTCAAGTGCAAGAGGCAACGTCCCCTGAGACACCCCTGTCTCTATCACTATGCCTGTTACCATCTGGCCTTCAGCACGGCCAATTAAAAACAATGGGGTTGCTGTGTCAGAAATGGTAGGACTTGGATTAGAACCCAGAGTTTCAGGACTGGGGACGTACTCCATCAATAATGTGCTTGCTGTATAAGCAAGTGGACCCAGGTTTGACCTTCAGCATCTGTCTTAGTTAGTGTTCTATTGCTGTGAAGAGAGACCATGGCCACAGCAACTCTTATAAAGGAAAGCATTTCTTCAGGGCTGGCTTGAGGTCTCAGAGCTTTAATCCATTATCATCATGTCGGGGAGCATGGCAGCGTGCAGGCAGACATGGTGCTGGAGAAGGAGCTGAGAGTCCTACATCTGGACTCATAGGCACGGGGAAGGGAGAGACACTGGCCTAGCTTGGGATTCTGACACCTCAGAGCCCACCCCTAGTGACACACTTCCTCCAACAAGGCCACACCTCCTAATCCTTCCAAGCAATGCCACTCCCTCCTGACTAAGCATTCAAAATCTATGAGCCTATGGGGGCCGTTCTCATTGAAACCACTACATTCCACTCCCTGGCCCTCGAAGGCTTGGAGCCATTTCACAGTGCAAAAAAATGCATTCAGTCCAACTTCAAAAGTCGCCATAGGCTGTCACAGTCTCAGCGCTGTTCAAAAGCCCAAAGAGTCTCCTTAGAGACTTGTGGCCCCTGTGCAGGGGACTCTGACTGTAGGGTGATCTCGGGGGATGCAAAGCGGGCCTTGGCTGGATTGCCTTCTCTGCCATGAGAATGAAGGTGGTCTTTCCCAGTTAACTCAGAGTATAAACTGAGAAGAAAGGACCAGGAGACTTGATTGGCAGGTAATAGGTTGTCAGTTATTACGCATCATGGGCTGACTCATCCTTCACTGAACGAACTTCACTGAATCTGTCTAGGGACAGTGATGGCTGCCAAGGTGAGTTAGATGGGGGTTTGCTCCGAGCTGCCGTGACAAGGTAAAAAAGCTGCTTTTTCAGGATGAACTGGGTAGGAGAGGGAGCTGACTTTTCTCCTTCTCTCTGTCCCCAGGGTGGAAATGACATACCAGCGGATGGAGAACCCAAGCTGCCACCTGGTTGACGCCAGCCCCTCGAGGGAGACTGTCCTACAGAATGTTTTGCAGCTGATTCGGAGTGCTGGTCATTAACTGTAGTTCCTCTGGACATGTGCCTACTACACCAGAAGAGAAGTTGTGTGCTGTACACAGACCAACACTTGTCATGCTGCTTCTTAGATTCAGGTTGCGTGAGAATACAGAGAGGAGGAAACTGGAGAATGGGCATTTTTGCTCTATTTCTGACCAACAAAGCCAGCCAGCCGCTGCTGGTTCTTTTCTGCCTGGCCATGTACCATCTCCTTGGGATATATTTTAACACTGTGACCACCTGGAAAGATCTTCTGATCCAGTGGTGAGCCTGTGGAGGTCTTCCTGCACCTGGAAGCTGAGGATGTCAAATGTGGCCCACAATGATCAATTGTGATGGGCTAGCCTTGTCTCCTCTCACCCCAAATCCTATAGCTGAGCATTGTCCCAGAGTCTGGCTGTCCCATCCTGTTTGCTTTGAGCCATTTACGGGTGGGGACACTCTCAAAGAAGCCATTGATCTTGTTCTTTGAGCTCAAAGGCTCAAAGAACACCTTGGACAGTTCCCGGAGGGAGCGCCTCAGACCTGAATAGACACATGCCCCTAAGCTGCTAGCATGCCACCCCCATCTTGTTCTCCTTTCCTTGTCTGTATTCCGTTTCTCTCCTCTGAAATCCAGTGCTGCGTGTAATGAGCCGTCTGCGCTGAGCTGGATGCGTTGCACTTACCCAACGCACTGATTTGTTTATATTGATGTTTACGTGTGTGTTTCCTCAGTGTAGGAGCTCTGAGTCACTAACCAAAACCGAGGCCAAGGAGCTAAACGCAGTGTTGGCTGTGTGTTTTCACAACACAGATTTAACTTATCTTAATAAACCCTGTAGATTCTGGAATGAGATCTCATAGTAAATTGTCTTGCACTTTGAATGTCTCCTGATTGCATGTGAAGTCAGCATTAAGGGCTCTTCGGATAGAGGAAAGAGCCGTGGAAGAGAATCCCGGTGGCTCTGTAGCCTTGACTGAGGCGTTTAACATCAAGAGCGTTAACGGTTGGGTCTGAAAGAGAACAGTTGGTGGGCCAGGTGGCATAACCCTCTGGTAACATTTACCTGGGAGGCTGAGAAAGGAAAATGGAACATCCAAGGCCTTCCTGGGCTGCAGCATGGGTTCAGGGCTATTCTGGGCAATGTAGTGAGACCTTGTCTCAAGATTAAAAACTACGAAGAGGACTGGGGGGTGAAATTCCACAGTAGAACACTGTACTGGACATTCTATCCCTGGGTTCCATTCCCAGTACCATAAAAATAAAAATATGAATGAACAATTAAACAATAAAAAGAATTAAGTAATTTTTGGTCATAAGGAGGTGGCTGGGTCAGGCTATAATTTAACATTCCAATTCTGATGTAGATGCCTTTCTACATCATTTTGATCCCACATCTCATTTCTGAAGAAGAATTCATCCCCAAGTAATGACATGTAACGCCTTAACAGGTTTACCCTAATCTTAAATTATAATAAGATTTAGTATTAACTTAGAAAATATTTTTTTTTACTTTTGGAACTATGTATAACTTGTAAATAATATGTCTATTATCTAAATACATTGCTGGCTTCAGTAGAGCATGTTTTTAAAGCTGATAAATAACGTTAGGGCTCTCTGTCATGTGGCAGCTACTTCCACAAAGGGTTTTGTTCAAGCCTTTCTGAGACGATTGTGACAGAGGCTCGGAAGAAAGTCTTAGTGCTCTCTTCATGAAACCTGCAGTGAATAAACTTGCTGTGACTTTCCTAACCCGATCTGTTATTATGGCTGTGTGACATACTTGTCTGGACATCCCCATGGGTTTGTCTTTCTATAGTCTTATAGTTTATTAGTCTTATAGAACTTTCCATAATTCTTATATACTTGAGAAGGTGGAGGGTGTGAGTTTGGAATCTGTGGTCAACGGGCTTTGGTGGGGGAATGTTTGTTTCAAACGTTATTTTCATACTATAAATATGGAAGGGATTTAAAAAATTCCATTCTCTGTATGGCTCATAGGTAGATGATTTATATCAGAAAACTCCGTGGCTCTTACCAATGCCAAGATGCATGGCTCTGCTCACTGCAGGATGGGACTTGATCTTATTACAGGGTCCATTCTTTGTTCTCAATAATGGAAGTTCAGCTCAGCACGTTGCTGCTAAGGCCACAGTGTTCAGGTCTGAGTTTCTCATACACTTAGATGTGTCTGGTTGGCTGGATCTGGCAAAAGGAATGTGAGGAATGTCAAGTGAATATGTTCCCTTTCTCCTCTGTCCCTGCTGTGATCAGGTAGCAGCCAGGAGGAGATCCTGCAGAGAGGTGACCAGCAGGATAGGTGGGGGTGTACAGAGTGAGAAGGTCTTTGCTGATTAGGGATATATAGAATAGATGGGATCCGATGTTCATAGGTTTCATGTACCTAAAGCATGACTCACCATGGTTTGCTCTCCCATATTCCTATGCAACCACGTGCCTGCTGTGATGGTTAATATTGATCGACAACTTGACACTATCTAAAATCCCTTAGGATACAGATCGCTGGGCATATCTGTTGGGGGAGTTATTTGAAGCAAGAAGACCCACCCTTAACCATGGTATTATTCCATGGAATGGGGTCCTGGGCTGGGTGAGAAGGGGAAAATGAGCTGCGTACTCACAGTCACTGGCCTCTGCTTCCTGACTGCAGATGCAGTGTGACCTCACTCTCTTACCATGCCTTCCCACCAAGGTGAACCATCCATCTTCAACTGTGAGCCGAAACGCGTCTCGTCTTTGTTACCTTGCTCTGGTCAGGCATTTTTGTCGTGGCGATGGGGAAAGTAACCCGTGAACAGTCTTACTGCGATGCCCAGTCCTCCTTCCAGACACGATTTCTTATCTTGACATCCCATGTAGCTATGTGAGCCTTAGAACCTGGTCTGGCTGGTGGGGTGCGACCAATGGGCATTGATGATAGCATTTCAAGACTGTTGTTTGTACAGAGCCATGCTTGGGTCCTTTGTGCTTTTCTGTCATCGGCGGGGGGTGGGGGGGGAGGACGACAATCAGCACAGGAAGAAATGTTTTGTCTTCAGAGAGGGAAGCTGGTCATGAGGTCAATGATTGAGTGAGTCTACCAGCCAAGACTGTTTACCCTGGAGCTCTATGGGAGAGCACCATGCATTTCATTGTGTGAAATGGTCTCTCATTTTCGCTCTTACTTTTTTATAAGCAACTTGTCTTCCTTTTAAACATATATCCAGTATGTTCATTTACTGTATAGTGAGTTGGTATACTGGATCTCTCAGCTGCTTCTAACATTATAATTCACAAAGTAAATATACAATAAAATGCTATTTGATGTGCACTAGGCAAAGAGGTGGTATAAGAGACAGAGAGGATGACTAAGCTTAGCTTTGAGAAATGAATGGTTCTCCTTCAAAATGACTTTTATCTTACCCATTTGAGACTGTAGATAAAAGGATAGTGTTACAACGAGTCCAAAATACTTGTTCTCTTCCCAGTATGTGTGTGTTGGTGGTGGGGGGGGTCTCTTGATTTACTTGAGTATTATATTGACATTTATTTTCATCCTTGATGTGACCTTGATTTCCTCAATCTTTTGCAATCTCTGGTATAGAAGTGGGAAAGGCAAGATGTAATTGATAGAGATTCACAATATGCCCCCATGTCCGGCGGACCTAGACACTTCTGCCTAGCCATTTCCTGGGCCAAACTAGCCATTTCTGGGTCAAAATGTCTCGCATGACCAGGACCCTGTGGCTTTGCATGGTTGCATAAAGAGTGCAGCACAACCATGTGATCTACGCGCATGCGTAGAGTAGCCATATGAGCCTGTGTATGCAGGCGCGGCCCAGCCTTTATAAGCCAGCGCCATATTCCCTGTGTCTCTCTTTAATCACATGTGTTACCACAGGCCTGTCACATCTGTCTCTCTTTCCTATCTTAATAAAAGTCTTGTTGGTGGATTCTGTTTCGTGACATTTCCTCTCAGGGTAAGAGCTCACAAATACTAACAGTAACCACATTTCTGGTTGCAGATAATTTGTTACTTTTATTCTCTGTTCTTTTCTGGGTTCTGTAATGTCCCTATGTAAAGAGAAAACCTTAGTTTTCGCCAAGCATGCCTTCTCAAATCATCTGTAATGATTGTGCTCCTGGAGGGCTGAGCAGGCTCCTTTCATATCTGAACTTCCTGGGCATGGCAACTGTATGCTTTGGGGGAAAGGGTGAAATGTTCTGAAGGTTAAAAGAAAAGGAAGATTCTAAAGATTCCAAAAAATACTTGGAAGAAATGTGGGGTAAAGAATGCCTCTGGCTTTCATCAGAATGGCATGCCAACAGTTCCTTCATTTCCTGTAGAAAATCCATAGACCTATAACTATGGACTGAGCCCACTAGAAAGTAAGGGGGCGATCTTGTAAAAAGATAGCCAGAAGCCACTTGAGTGGTGGTTAAGTGGACTTGTGAACTGGGTGGGATTTGGAACGACTTAGGAGGTATCTCTCCAAGCATATCTATGAAGGCATGTCTAGAGAAGTTTCAGTGAGGAGAGAAGCCTGCCCTTTGGTAGGGAAGAACCTAGTTTCTGCTGCTGATCCAGATAGGCAGCGGTCTGAGGAAAGAGCCACGCTGTCCAGCTGCCTCCACTCCTTCATGAGTGGGTGCTCCCATCTCTGCCACTGACACCCTCAGTTGGTGTCAGAATGAAGCTTCCCCAGCCTTCTGATGTGAACTAAATACAAGTGTCTCTCTGGGAATCTTCCAAGTCTTGATCAGCCAACTGGGATGGCTGAGACACCCAGTCTTTTGGAATTAGCAGCCACCAGGCTCTCAGCCTCTTCAGCATGCAGATGGCCACTGTTGAACAACCTAGGCCCTATTGTATAAGTCAACCCAACATATATTACACACACACACACACACACACACACACACACACACACACACACACACACTGTTCTGCTTAACACATGTGGGAAACCTAATTTATTTTATACATACTTTAAATTTCAAGATAATCTACAAATCATACATGGACTCCATACATATATCCCAGCTAAGGGCAAGATAATTACACTGACCTCTTAAGCCCAATGAAATTACTTGCCAGCTAAAACAACAATAATGAGATTCCTATTGCCTTTAAAGGACTTAGAGGGAGCCCAGAGCATCTACAACATAATGCTCCTCAAATCTAGGATACAGTCCAAAATGACCCAGCTTGCAACGAAGGAACACCCATGTATATTGTTGAAGAAAAAGGAGCCAAGTCGTGGAGAGCACCTCCAAGGTGACCTTGAATAGATGGGAGCAGCTGGGAATTTAGTGTAGCTTTATACCTGTGCTTGAGGATGGAATGGGGACATGCCTATCACATATCATGAAAAGGTAGCACACACAAAGAGACAGACATTCTGCAGAAGTAAGTCTTGCTCTTAGCTAGAATATATGTGTAGAGTCCGTGTAGGGTTTGTAGATTACCTTGAAATTTAATTAAAGTACATATACAAAATCAGGGTTTTCCTCATGTGTTAAGCAGGGTTCTCTAGAAAAATAGAGTCAATAGAAGAATGTGTGTGTGTGTGTGTGTGTGTGTGTGTGTGTGTGTGTGTGTGTGTGTAGAATATTCATTGGAGTGACTCATACAATAGAGGCTGGGTATTACTGAGTGGATATTATTCAGTGAAAAGAGCGCTATCTAGAAAAACAGGCCACTGATGGATTGAGTTATTAGCGGAGCAAGTGTGTGAAGGGAAGAGTCCAGATACTTTGATGTATAAAAAGTATTCAATCAGAATAATGCCAGAAATATAAACAAAGCTGTGGAGACCTGAAATATGCAAGTTTGAGTCCTAGAAGAAAAAAGGAAGAACAGAAAAGGAAACATCATATAAAATTAAAAAACGATTTTTCTCCAATAGGATGAAGTATATGTGTACAGATTCAAAGATCTCAGCAAACACCACATCCTAAACACACAGAACACCAGGGCTATGTTCATCATGGTTATATGTGTAGGACCCTGAGAGTCACATCCTTCTGGGAAACCCAGACCATCCCCTCACGAGGACATAGGATCTTTGTAGATATTGTCATTTACCAGAACATGGTACTGGAGTCAAGTCGTCCGGATCCTGGATGATTAATGTAGTTACACACAGTGGAGAGAAAAGGTGGAATTGATGCCATATGATGAGTAGCACATGGGTTAGGATGATGCAGCTGACGAACACCAAGAAATGATGGCCAACAGAGGCTGGAAGAGACAGCAGAGAGTTCTACCCAGAACCTCAGAGGGACCACAATGCTACTGACATCTCCATTGTAAATTTCCAGTTTCTGTGGATGCAAAATATTGCACTACTTAAAAAAAATTGTGTGTGTGTGTGTGTGTGTGTGTGTGTGTGTGTGTGTGTATGTGATGTGTGCACATCCACGTGTAACACAGTGTGGGTTTCCAGGTCAGAGGACAACGTTCAGGAGCTGGTTCTGTCCTCCTACCTTTATGGGAGTCTCACGATTTTGTGTCGTGTGCATTGGTTCCTCATTTTATTGGTTTTGTTATGTTATTATTATTATTATTAAGAAATTTTTTTCATTCATTTTACACACCAATCAAAGATTCCCCCTTTTCCCTCCTCCTTCTCCCCCAGCCTCCCCCTCTGAACCCCCCCCCACTCCTCCCCACAAGAAGGCAAGGCCTCCCTTGGGGAGACACATCCAGTAGAGGCAAGTCCAAGCCCTTCCCCCTGAGTCAAGGCTGAACAAG